GAAGTATAGACGAGATATATTTAGAGAGAGAGTTTTAGCCTCCCAGCAAGAGGCATGACTCATCTTCTGCCAGCTGACAGAAGGATGGATGGAGGGAAGGAGGGAGGGAGGAGATGGACAGAGACGGGGAGTGAGGGATGGAGGAGAGGGCAGAGCAAGCGTGACGGAGAAGGGAGACGCGATTGGAGAAAGGGGGATAGGAGAATGTTGGAGGAAGGGAGGGAGGAGAGATGGAAGGGAGGGATGAGAATCGGAATAAAAGAGGAGATGGAAGAGGCCGTTGAACATGCAAATACACATGTAAGGTGTAAAAACAAAGACTGAGATAAAGCACAGGGTCTCTCTCAGCTGCTGCCAAGTCCCACTGCATTTCCCCAGTGTGTGTGTGTGTGTGTGTGTGTGTGTCTGTGTGTGAGAGAGAGAGAGAGAGAGAGAGAGAGAGAGAGAGAGACTGAAGTTGAGGTTTATAGCTATAATAAGTGGAGCAGGTATAGTTTCACCCATGGGTTTGCTGCAGGTTGTATTTGTAGTTTGAGCTCTCTGGTTCTTACATGTGTCCGTGTGTCTGCACAGAGCTGCCACAGATTCCCATGTCTGCTCTGCATGGTTGTTTTTATATCAAATCAAAAGAAGAAGGACGGGAGCTTAGAAACAGTGGGTGAGATGAGAGAGGAACGATAAGAAAATCCACAAAGGATGAGTTAGAAAACCTTTATGAATTAGATAGCATATGTTCTGGGTGTGTCTGGTAAAAATTGTGGATTAGACTCTTAGTTCAGACATGGTGACGGAGGAGATGGTTGTGCGATTTCTGGGTCTGCACGAGCCAATCACAGTCCAGACTGTTCTGGTTTATGGTTCCTCGATGTTGGACTGACCTGATGAATTCCGTCAGAAAGAGTCATCTCTCTCTGTCTTCAACAACTTCCTGAAGACTCAAGTTCAGAGAGCTCCTCCGCTCCTGACTCCTCAAACACCAAACTCTCCCACTTGACCAAAGCTCTGGTGTTGTCAAGCTGTAGTGCAAGTCGCTTAGGACATAAACGTCATACAGGGTCCTTAAGTGAACCTCTGAGTCCCTTCAGGCTGTGGGGTCAGAGCTCTGCTGCTGTGCCTGACCTCTGACCTCTTGCTGGAGGCAGCAGAAAAGAAGGAAACATGATAGATGCAAGAAAAAGACGTTCAGGTTTCCAGTTTGTGCTTTTCAGTGGAACATCATTCTTTGCATTATGAGTACTTTCATTTCTGATTATGTATGTTTGTTATGGTTTTATACATGTACATAAAATGTTCAGTAAAGGGCTTCACTTTTCCTACATTTTAGTAAAAGATCTGAATATTTCCTTCACCACTGGTTGAAAGCAGCTGAACAGTGAGGCACTGGCACATTTCTGCTTTTAGTTTGAATGCACTGTTGAGGACAGGCTGTCTCTTCCGGGGACGATGCTCAGGTTGAGTCTGGCCTGTACCTGTTCAGAGAAGGCCTACCTTGGTGCACAATGTCTTTTGGATAAATTAACTCTTTAACTCTCTAACTGAGAAGCTGCCATAAACAGGGGTTAAAGTCTCCTACCTAAGAGGCTGCAACTGGGTTTCCTCAAGCTGCAAAAAAAATACCCTCATCAAGTGTGTCACATGCATCCTCTCTTCTCTCGCTCTACTCTGACTCCCTCTATATACACTCTGAGTATTATATTTAACTAGAGGGTGATCAATTTTCAAGTGACAGTCATTTCTAAAAATTGGCAATTAGCATTTTTGGCATCGGCGGCTTCCAGGGGCTCAGCTCAGACATCAGCCGAGCGCAGCTGCTTTCCCTGCAGGAGAGAGCGGCCTGGCTCTCTCGCTGCAGCCTGGCACTGACGGCAATAAAAACAAGAGAGTGAGGCTGCTGGTTAATCCAGAGAGGAGCTGCATGCCGACTCTTTCAGGCATTGCTCCCTGTTGCATGACTATTGCTCATATCCTCCAGGGATAAGTCCCCCATCTCTCTCCGTCTGACTCCCTCACTGTATATCCATTACTTGGACACTCCCTCTCTCTTTCACTGTTTCCCCTCCTTCCTCTTTCATTCCTTCTTTATCTCACTTGGTCCAAAGTTTTGTCTCTGTGCTCTCAACCCTCACTGACTTTCTTTTGGCCTCGTGTGTGTATCGAGGCTGAACTGCTCCTCCTTGTGTTTCAGTGAGCACATCACAACTTGACTACTGCTGTGACTACATCAAACATCAGCGTGGCTGCTTCAGTCCATTATTTCTGATGCTGTCCCAGAATCAGCTGTTGGCCTCCTTAGTCCCCAAATAATGAGGCCGTCAGTGTTTCAATCATCAAAGATGTCAGGGGGAGAAACATATTTATTTTTTTCAGATGTCTCAAAATACATTCTGTTTTGAAATGTTAATTTTTTTCTTAACTCTGTACAAGCTCCAAACTAGACTTTCTGCAGTTTCTTCCTATGAAAGCAGTGGATGGTGCTGTGGTGTCAGATAAAGGCTGATCATTAGTAACAGGGCAGCTGCTGATTGGTCTGTCATCAATAATCCTGAGTCATTGTCTTGCTGCAGTCTTTTATTCGGCTCTGACTCAGGGAGAGAAACAGACACAAGCGTGAGTCGACAAAAATAACAATGACTTGAAACTGAAAACAACAGACCGTGTCATATTTTGAAACTTTTCTCTTGACTACTACAAACATATACTGCTTCACCAGTGTTTCCAGCAGTGTACGTCACTTGGTACAAAGACGTTCTGTGCAGCCAAATTCACCGAACATCATCTCATATCCTACATGGAAGGTTTTAACATTTACCAAAACATGTAATGTATTTAAAATGATCCACGTGGCCTTCACAATATTTGTATTTGCTTCTGCCATAAAAAACATGGATGTCTTGGGTTTGGATATTTTACTCTGTGCACATATAATATCCTCACTATAGATAAGATAATCATTGATTCCAGGAATATGGGTATTACAGCGGCCCAGTACATAATACTGAACATCATAGAATAGAATAAGAATAGAGTAACACTATTAAAGACAGCAGTTAGATAATAACGTTTAAAGTAGTACAAATACTTTCTATTGCAGTATACGGTATGTAATATATGGTACAGTGCAGTGTATAAGACGTGATACTGTCATAAGTCACAAAACAGTACCTATATCTAATCTAAATATGTTCCATTAGGCAAGAAGTTCATAATAATAACACATGCCACAGCAGATACAGAGAAATGTGTGTGTTTGGCCAAATGGGGGCGCTGTTGTCTCAGTAACCTGAAGCATACAAACGGAAACCAATGCAAGGTGCCTCACGTTTATGGAGATGACAACATCTGAATACAGACAATATTTAAATACAGACTCTTTCAGTCCAACCAGTTTTTATGTTGTTACGCAATATAAACACGTTTCTGTTTCCTAAAACATGTTTACTCACCCGACAAACCTGACTGGACTCCTTGTGAACTTCACACACAGTGAAGTGATCTAACTGGCTGCCTCCAATATACATCTGACTGCTGGTTGATATTCTGCTGTGTGTGTGTGTGTGTGTGTGTGTGTGTGTGTGTGTGTGTGTGTGGTGTGGTGTGTGTGTGTGTGTTTAACCATCTGCTGTGTGGCTATTATATATCAGTGTTTGTTAACCAGACACTGAGACAAAAGATCACATCATCTGTTGTTTTTAAATAACTTCATGTTGCTCAGTTAAATCATCNTGTGTGTGTGTGTGTGTGTGTGTGTCACTGGGAACTTCGGGGCCCCTGGGAGATGAAAGGTGTGCGGCCCCTGCTTAACATTGCTGCGGGTCTATTGTCATGCAGAGACGAATGACATCCGACTCTGATCCAACAGTAACCCTAGAATGACATGTTGAAGAATTTGTTACACAAAAGATATCACATATTTTAGATGCATATATGTAATTAAGTATAAGGTTAAAATAAACTTAGGGCTCTTGGTAGTTTAAAAGTCCGTGTTTAAACTGATCTCTGTGTCCTTGTTGAAATACAATAGATTCCCAGGGGGGTTTTAGAATGCGTAAAGCTGAGGAATCTATGTTTCCAAATGCTGTCTTAATATCTCGAGAGTTATTCTTTTCGTTTCTTGTTGTTCCATTCTGGTTTGTTATTTGATCTTGTAAAGTCTAAAAGACCTTTTTGTGATGATAAAACATCAGGGACCGGATTTTTGAAGTCTCAGGGCCCCGACCTAACCTCTCTGTCGCTTATGGACGCACTGGTTCTTTAGAGAAGCGCTGAGTCGGATCAGAAGAGGCACCTCCACCGCGCACACACCCTGTGCGCACTTTGTCTTGGACCGCGTCGTGAATTGAGGGGAGCTCGCTCCCAAACTCCTTTTCTTTACTTTCCCGGACTTTCCAGGACTCCCGGCCGTCTTTGTCAGTGTGTGTGTCCGTGCGTAAACGTGTGTGTGGAGGCGGTATGTCGCCTTTTATTTTCGCACACCAAAGAAGAAGGGATTAGGCGATTTTGAAGCGCTCACCTTTTATCCAAACAAATTATCCACTTCAGCTCATAAAAGGAATGTCTCCCTCTCTGGCTTATACAGTAAAAAGCTCTCTGCTTGCCATTATTTTACACACTTCATTTGGAGTAACAAATTCACTTTTAAGTTTAAGTGAATGACCAAAACTGTGAGTCCATGGATGAACAATTCATTGATCACTGATTGATCGGCCAAAAAACAATGAACAGATTAATTTGCTATGATTTCCTTCCATTGGGTTTCAGTTTAGTTCATTTCCAATCCTTGTGAACTCAATGTCACCAGTAATGCAGGTGCTTCCAGCCTATAAACATTTGTTGATCCTCTGCTTTGCGCGCAGGCTTGCGCGATGTATGGCTGTAAAAGGGGGGGTGGAGGGGTCTGGTCTGAGGTGAAGTGGGGGTGAGAAGAGGAGGAGTGTATAGCAGGGAGAGAGAGAGAAAGAGAGAGGGAGATGTGGAGTGGCCTGTTAGGGCACAGGAAGGGAAAGGAGCAGTCGGTTTGCTGCTCAATTAGTGATTACTCTCCTCGTTAATATTCCCCAGGACAACAACTTTACGCACTATGTTTTGTTTTAGCATGTTTTATTTCATTTTTTAAAGGCAGGGGTTGAGGAACATATCGTCTGTCTCTGCGTAAAATCTAACTGATGCCAAACCATTTTACGCACATCTTAGAGGAGTTTTAAGTACAGAGGACTCTTGTTTTATTTGCAGGCAGCTTTCCAGAGCTTCTAGAAACATGTTGCTGTAATTTCAGATCAATTCTGGACTGATCCACAGTGAAACTACTACTACTAATGTGGATTACGAACTTTGTCCTGTTTGGTTGACTTTTTCACCATCTTCTAAGAGGGATTTTCTTTTGGACATAGAGAGAGAGAGGGGAGGAAAGGGTAAAGGCAAGTGGAGAGTAAGAAACTGGGACAAAAAATCAGGACACACGTGAGTCTCACTCACGCATCGCCAGATTTGAGGGTTTTTTTGCGTCCAGGCCCAGAGACCAGAGACCCGGCAGGGCTGAGCAGGGACGCCTCCCTCACTCTGTGCCCATGTCTCAACAGCGGAGCGCTTCCCCAAACACCGGCTGTGAGGCGGTGACGCAGCGGACCATGGACAACAGGCCTGTCCGGAGAAGGAGAACCGGTGCTGTCCGACATCTGCTGCTGGCAGCCGCCTTCCTCGCCTGCAGCTCCCAACTGCTGGTGGTGGATGCCAACTCGTGGTTGTGAGTAACTCATTGATCACTGGCGGTGCATTTATTTTTTTGAAAGATATTACCAAACTGTGGTTGAACTGACCTCCACTTGGTGGTTCGAACAAGTTGTTGGTTCAAACAACGTGCATTCTATTCAAGATTTGATTCTATAACGTAGTCCTCACCCTTGCGCTTGAAATGTGCGTATTTTGGCTTTTACGCACGGGAGGTTCAGATTCTCACCATATCCTCCTAATTTCTTGCGTCTAGACTCTTGATAAAGATGACAGCTGGCACATTTTGGGCCAAGGCTTCACTCTGTGTTGCCTCACGTGTGCGTGCGTGTGTGTTTTGGGGGGGTGTAGCTTTGCGTCGTGCCGTGATGTTCCATTCGTGTGGTGGAGCACTAACAATGAATGGAACAAATGTGAAGGCTCTGTCACAATATTTACCCTGGCTGAGGCCCAAATGGCGCTGTAAGGTGGCCTGCTGCTTCTGCACCTTCAAGACCGTCAATTCACAACACACTTGTTCTTGACTTTCAAAAACTGTGGTGATGCAGTGTCACACCATCGTGTGTGCAGGTTTGTAGAACTCACCTGTAACTTTAATCAGTGCATGATATGAGTTCTCAAGCCATCAAACAACATGGGAAGGGTGAGAGTTAATCATTTTCCTTTAGTACTAAAGTCAAATATCCAAATGCAAATTTAAGACGATGCCCGAATAGTTTCCTAAATGTGATATGCATTTGAAATTGAAAACTTGGTCAAACAGATATTTCAATTAGATTTGACTTTGCTCAGATAGTCTTTATAAGAGACCACAAAGAGTTTACTGTCATATTGTCTGTGTTTTGCTACAGTTCTACTTTAATTTGTGAGATTTTTTTAGTCCAACATGATTAACATGTTTAATTACGACACTCTTTTGTTGTAAAGGGAAATGAAACAGACCAAGAGGATAGCGACTGCAGAGATGTTCACCACAGGAGCTTATTTATCTACGTTTTATAGGCCGGTTGCACTAATAAAACCTGCCTCTGAACTTTGTCCTCTGCAGCACCGACCTGCTCTCACAGACAGAGTCGTACATCACAGAGGCTCAGTTTGTGCCACTTTATCTGTGAGTTTAATAGATTCCGTTTATTAGTTTGAATTGAGGATTTATATGGGCTCTGTCTCTCAGGTCACTAGCTCTGACCCCAATCCAGCGGCCAGAGATGTACATCATCGGAGCTCAGCCTCTCTGCAGTCAGCTGTCTGGACTCTCTCAGGTAAGATCCCGAGGAAATACATCTTCAAATATTATAAACACGTCTCTTACCACTCTCATGACATCAACAATGGCTGCTTGAGTCTCTGAGCACCTTATGTTCCTACAAGCTCCTCTTCTGTAGTTAGAGGAAGAGGGAGAATTTCCCTGCAGAGACGACTAAAGTATCAAACCATTAACTGACTAATCTCGGCTAATCTCTCCTCTGCTGCTGCTGCTGTGTGGTCCGCAGGGCCAGAGGAAGCTCTGCCAGCTGTACCAGGACCACATGATCTACATCGGGGACGGAGCCAAGACTGGAATCAAGGAGTGCCAGTATCAGTTCAGACAGAGGAGGTGGAACTGCAGCACCGTGGACAACACATCTGTGTTTGGACGGGTCATGCAGATCGGTGAGTTGACGGATGAAAACAGTGGAATCAGGAACAGCAAGGAAAGTCTGTTTTTGTCAGTCAGTTAAAGGGTGATGGCCAACTCCAGTCCAGTTTGTGTTGGAGATTTAAGAAGAAGCTGCTTCTGTTGCAACTGTATGTTGTTTATGTCGGATTTGAAATCAAGTCAGATTTTTCTATATAGCATTCATTATACCAATAAAAGACACAAGATAAAAGTAAATCAGATAAGAAAGGGAGACATTAACAGAATCATGAGACAGAATTAGAAAAGTAAAAACAAATACTGATTTCATGTATAATGCAGAAGTCCATAACCTACTGTTGTTTGTGTGCATGTAGCACATTTATGACCTTCAATCGAATCTGTAAGAAATGTTAAAACAGAAAGAGAATTCAATGGTGCTACTGACTTCACTTATTTAATTGTTAAAGTGAAAAGTGCAAAGACGTTGGCAACTGAAACCCCTGAAGCCCACACACAGCATCCAGACATTAACTGTACAGCTATTCAGGGGACGGTTCTAATAATGTGCAGATTAATAGTCTTATTTTGAAAGGTCTGTTATGGTGATTATCTGTGTAGAAACCAACGCCCATGGTGTTTAGACGGGTCGGGCCGATCCTGATAGAGGAGGATGTTTGCTTTCAGTCAAATAACAGGCTGAAATAATACAACACATTATTATGCAGCCTGAAGTTGAATATAGCGAAGTGCAGAGGTTTGGTGGAGACAGATATGATCCTACGTGTGTGGTTGGTGCTGGCACTGACCTCTGGGGTTGTGACATGATATGAAATCAGAAGTTATTCAAATTGGCACATCAGGTAAATACTGTTAAACCTGACAGCGTCACACATATAGTCATGAGGTGGGTATGTAGCACAATAGAAAAACACTATGGTGTGTCAGGTTGCGTGGCTGTAAAACTCAACAGTCAGTTGACTATATAGATATTTTTTCTTACTTTGATCATGTTTTATCAAATTCCGGATCGTCCCTTGTTGTGTATTGTTATTGAGGCTATTCCAGAGTTTGCAGCGAAGCGTGTATGGGTTGGATTTTTCTGTCTTTATTGAACCTATACCATTAATCATTTCACATTTGGATATCATGTGGATTTTTCTTTCTTTTTTTTTGATCGGCCATTTGTCTCATATGGGAAACAGATGTCTGGTGATGATTGGAATTCTTTTTAATCAGTTGATTAGTCATATATTTTGTAATAGTCATAACATTTCATTTTTCATCAAGGAGAAAGGTGGGGCTTCTATCTTTCTTCATTTGTGAATTTACGTTTTGTGACATTAATAACATTTTTGACATATTGATAAAAGTGGGAGTACTTTGCGCCCACAGTTCACTTGTCGCTGGCACATTACGCGCAGGCGCACTGAGCCCATAAACTCAGTCTTTATCTAAACGGAGACAGGAGTCGGCACTGAAAGGCCTAACGCGTAAAACCCCCCATCATTATCCAGATAGAAACGCTTCGTGCGTCTCCAGCCATTTTTTAATAAATATCTTGGTGTCGCTCAGACCCTGGATCAGCAGCCTGAGCGTGTAATTCCCAGCAGGCGATGTGGGAAAGCTCTCATCAACAAGTAAGTGTGAGATCCGCTGCGGGGCAGTCAGTCAGTCAGTGGAGGTGTTTGCGCCTCTCTCCTCTGTCTGCGCTCCTCTGTGCGCCTCTCTCTATTGACAGTCGCTCTTATACGGAGGTGTGAGTCGCTCCATTGTCCTGCGGCTCCTCTTTTGAAATGCGCCGATGAGCTGACACCGAGCCGGCACATCCGGACCTGCTTTTTGAAGTGGAGGCTCCTCCAGTCCCATAAACCGCTGGGCCTGCGTCTCATTATGATCCTGCTGCGTGTTTAACATGCGCCCTCGTCCTGACTGTGTGATACTGCTGCTGGAAACCTGAATGAGCAGCCCACCCGACTCACATCTGCATGCATACCTGTCTGTCTGTCTGTCTGAAGCCTGCTGTTGATTCTGTGTCACACACAGAGCCACACTGCAAAGCACCTTTATTATAGAACATACTCCAGTCAGATTTCTGGATGGATTATAGGTGGATGGACTTAATTGATCCCAAACTGGGAAATTCCTGTCTCATCCCAATAAATGTGTTAAAGCCTGTCATAAAGAAAAGCATCAAAGTCAGTCCAGAGTTCCAGACTTTCACGTGGAACAGCTTGACATTGTGTTGGATTCTCAATAACAGTGAGATCAGGTTTTAAAGATAATTTGAATATAGAAAAATGATCATGCAAAAAGTCAAATACTGGAATCACGGCTCATAAAATGTCCCTGTGATGTAAATTCAGCCTGGACCTAAAGTACTGTGAGATTCTCGACTGTTTCACATGTAAATCGTGGAGTTTCACAACACTTTTCATGGTCTTTGTCCTCTTTCTTTCTTCCTTGTGTGTTGAAATGGTTTGTGTATTAATGTGGAGAATAGGACATGCAGGTTGTGTTGTGTATTCCACAGTGTAAGATGGTGTTAGTCCCCCAAGTCAATAGAATTGGTTAATATGGGTTAGTGTGTTGCAACAGGGAGGGCAAAGCTGACAATTGCTTGGGGCTCGATCTGAGAAATGGGCCCCTGAGAACGGATGAATATGTTAGTCCACAGCAAAGACAATTTTGTGAGAACCTAGAGGAGACTGGATTGACAAGACAGTCAGGGAAGCCCCACGCCACTAACTTCCTGCAGTGTGGTTGAAGACTGGAACATTTAAATATGTGTGCAATAAACTTTAGTATTATTTATTATTATTTTTATTAATATAATTTGAAGATTGATCTCTTTTGCCGATTTTATTTGTATAGTACCTTTCATAGCTCAAAGTGCTGTACAACTATGAAAGACAGTGTACAATGAACATAAAGTCTTGATGAAAATGATGGAAAAAAAGATGGAAAGGGTCATTTTACTGAAATTACAAAAAGAAAGATGTTATTCAGATGTTGTACTTTAATCTGTGCAGGGTTTTCAAAGATGTCAATAAGATGGAGAGGATGAGACTGATGCAGGTGGAAAATGACATTTAGCAGCATCGCTCTGTCAACAGAAAGTATTTGTGAGGCAGAAAGTTGTGCCGATGAAAACACAGTAACAGGAATGTTGTTTCTGGAAGGTTGTGGCAGAACTTTTCTAACATACTTCCTCTTTTCTGTGAGCATCACAAATTAAATTTGATTTATCTTTATACGTGGACACAGAAACATCTCAAAGCTCGATACCAGCACAGATGAAGAAGTAGAGGTACGTTTAGTGATGTGAAGGAACTGGTTCTAAAACATAAGAGTGGACGAGCCGACATGGAAATGAAGAAAAGTTCCAGGTGACTGAGGAGAGGCCGATATGTTTCCTTCACATGTGTCATGGACGACTGAGCTGGTATTTAAAGCTGCTGGGTTTAAACAGGTTCTGAGTTAGAGCCTAAAATCACATCTATTGTCTATTGTTGGGTCGACAGGGGTGTGGGGCTGTTTGCTGTGTGTGTTGGGGAGGGGGCGAGTTAACCTGAGCAGCTACCCATGTTTCCTGTCAGGGGATGCACACACACACACACACACTGAGCGAAGCACTGATTACATTGAAGTGAGAGTCATTGTGACAGAATATATTATAATGTGCTTCAATTCTCACTTCAGTAAATTCTGTCTTCCTTCAGGCTCCAGGGAAACGGCCTTCACCTACGCCATAAGTGCGGCTGGCGTGGTCAACGCCATCAGCCGGGCGTGCCGTGAGGGCGAGCTGTCTACCTGTGGCTGCAGCCGGGCCGCACGACCCCGTGACCTGCCGCGTGACTGGCTGTGGGGCGGCTGCGGCGACAACGTTCACTATGGCTACCGGTTCGCGCGTGAGTTTGTGGACGCAAGGGAGAGGGAGAAGAATTACCCCCGTGGGTCTGCTGAGCACGCCCGCACAATGATGAACGTGCAGAACAACGAAGCAGGGAGACAGGTACAGAAACACACACCCGTACTTTAATGTTTCTGTCCCGGGGAGAAATAAGGGATGAAGTTCAGAGTTCTGGAAGTGAGTGTGTACCCATGACTCTTAACCCTGTGTGTGTATTTGTGTGTGTGTGTCTGTCTGTAAGGAATGTATGTGTGAGTCAAGGTGGCCCCCAACTGCCTGACCTGCCAGTATGTTTGTGGGTGTGTGTGTAGGTTATTTATTGGGAGGGTCCAAATGGTATAACTGCTAACGCCCTTGGAGTCTGGATAGGTCGCTAGGTCAACACACATTCCATCGGAGTAACACACACACACACACACACACACACACACACACACACAATATATCCGCCTACATGTATGCAGCAGCACAATTGACAACAGCATAGTTGCACGATGAGATTTTAAAGGTTTAAAAAAATAAGCCAAAAAAAAAATCAAATTAATGCAAGTTATGTTTTGTCAAACAAGCACGCTCAGTTTTTTGAGGCCTTTGAGTTTTTGTCCCATGCTGGTCACCATCCTGAGACAGTCCGAGGCTCTAAACTTGACGTAGAAGCGTGTTTGGAAATGCCCTCAGGTGGAGAAATGCACTAAAAGAAACCTTTCACCTTTGACTGGGATGTAAACACACATGCACGAGTGTGGACACACACAAACACACACATACACACACACACACACACACACACACACACAAACACACACACTTTCCTTGTAAAAGGTCCATTTGGGCATTCAGGTACAGAGTGGATCTTAAAGATGTGTTTATCTTCACTTTTATCTTCAGAGAAGCTTTGTTTAAGCTGTTTACAAGAAAGAGACCTTCAGCGCCTGTCTATGTGTGTGTGTGTGTGTGTGTGTTTGACTGCGTGCACATCTCAGCTCCATTTGATTTGTGTGAGAGACAGTGTGTCTGGTTTTTGTGCGTGCGTGTGTGTGTGTGTGTGTGTGTGTGTCAGAGGTCGAAGGTGAGGGTCTGGAGAGGTTGTGTTTCTGCTGAGGGTCCCACTGGGGCTATAGTGGAGTGTATGAGAGAGAGATCTACTGCTACGGCCTTATATTCACACACACACACACACACACACACACACACACACACACACACACACACAGAGTTCTGTAACACACTTCTTTTTGAATGACTTTTCCTCCCTCTCTCCAGTTTGATTCTTGGCTTTCATTGTTGTCTGACCACTGGATTGGAAGAGAGGAGAAGACAGGGATGAAAAGGGAAGACAAGTTTCTTCTCTCCTCCTCATCCCTTCTTCCTCTCTTTTTTCTTTCGGGACACGCCGGTTTGTCTTAAGCAGGATTTGTCTCGCTTGGTTGAACAAGGCAAACCACCGGGCTTTTGTAGAGGTGACAGGGGCGTGCCGCTATGTATGTGTGTGTTCTTCAGTGTGTGTGTGTGTGTCTGTGTGTGTGTGTACAAGCGTCTGGAGACCGAGACACAGGGTGAGGAATGGGACTCTGTCACACTCCCCCGACTCTCAAAGCAAAGACCCACACACACATGCACACACTCACCCAGGTCCACTGTCTCCGTTTCACACAAATCAAATGAGGCAGTGCTCGTCACACAGACACCAAAACAACTTGACGCACATTCCCAGTCCAAAGACAATAACAATAACAGGACACAGAAGAGAACTTTTAAATGTATCTGTCAACCTGTTGAGGACACAAGCTCAAAAGTTCTGATTTGGGAAATTGAAGAGAAATGTCCGCTCACCCACAAGCATTATTGTACCTCCCCTCTTAGTTCTGACCTGTGCCCGAAACATAACGAAACATACTCATTCTTTCTATTTGATGTAATAGTAATGCTATGAAATGCATATACTGATTATATATGGGCATATGTTAGATGTTATTTTAAAGTTTTCAGTTTCAGTCGATGGGTATACTCTGATTTGTCCCCACATTGCACAACCAGAGTCATAACTTTCTGGCTGCATATAGATGAGACGTATTGACCTTTGCAGATATGGACAGATGATGAAATCTGGACCCTGACGTTCATCTGTATACTGGACTTTAAGCTGCTCGGTCCAACAGACACTGCAGTCTCTCGTCTCTGTCTGTCCTGTGCTCCTCATTTACTGCTTCTGCTGTCACAAAGGCCGAGCTGTTTCCTCCATGTCTGCCCCATTATAGCACTGACTCAACCTACTACTGACTCCACACACACACACACACACACACACCACTCCTCACCCCTAACCCTGCCTGAGCAGAATCTATTGTGCTTGACACAGAGACCGTGTCTCCACTACGCATGACTGAACGTGTGTGTGTGTGTTCATAAGGTCCTGTGTCATTGCGCCCAGCAGGCATGACCCACCAAATGGCTCAGTGTGATGCTGGACACACACATGCACAGTTTGACAGTGTAAAGTTATTGGCAGCTTATAATGAAAATTGTTTCTATAGCGCTGTTCATACTAAGGATGAGGCTCGAAGTTATTGAAAACATAAAAACTCATTCTGAGCATTAGAAATGTGCAGTTTATAGTCTGAAGGGTCTAGAAAGTAAAACACTTTATTTTAAAATGTGGCTTTTACTCTTCTACAATCGACAACATGTCATTGTCCTCTCTCATTCTCAGCAGCTTGTTTGTCGGGGTCATCGGGGTCGATCAGCAGGATTGGAGGGTGCCGAGTGCTATGCCTGCTGGGTAGTAAAGTAGAGGGGAGCAGGGGTGGGAGGTGAGGGTCGGATGCAGGGGTGAGGGGCACAGAGGTGAGAAGGTAATTGAGATCAGGCAACGCGAGGAGACACAGGGATGGGTTTGTGTGAGGAGTCAGAAATAATAGAATCTGAGAGTACAGTGTGTCGAAAGATCTGTTCTTAAATTAAATAACGTAATCCATGATTAGTGACACACTACTTGTGTATAAAGGATGTGAGTGCGTGTGTGTGTTGGGGAGGGGGGTGTGTGTGTGTGTGTGTGTGTGTGTTATGTGACTTGTTTACTGAACGCTGTTAAAGCGACCTGGTAAAACTGCAGGGGTGAAGGACTCCCCGTAAAGTTCACTGCTGCCAGGATCATAAATCTCCTGTTTCCTGTTCTGGTTTTTATTTATTTATTTATTTACTCACACACTCAAATATATATTGATAAAGAAGCTTCTGAAAGTTGAAACTAAGCCAGAGCATTTTGTTTTAAGTTAAAATTTGAGTTTAAGTGAAGTTTTAAGCCAGATAATTGGGTAGTTTGGCTAAATTTGGCAGCAGATGATCCAAGAGAGTTTCTGGTTAAAATAGGAACTTATATCAGGATTCCGAAGAATCCATAGCATGCAATGTATTTATATTTATATTCTTTAACATTTACAATAGTTGTAATCTACCCTGTGATTTCGCTGAAAGCTGCTGACTTTACAGTTCAGATAATAACATGTCACACTGTAGCTGTTTATACATAGTCTTTAAAATGACTACTTTCTATATAGAAGCCGTGTGGGAAAGTCAATTCACAATAGAGCCTCATTTCCTATGGTTTCCAGTGGACCTTCTATGCTGGGTCAGCTGTTTGTTTTAGTTTGGTGGAGCAGAATTGACAGCGTGAAAAAAAAAATCTTTCTTTGTTTTTCTTTGCTTTGCATTTTCCCCCTTTGTTTATGTGTTTCTCTGCACATTCTAACAGTAAGGCGGGTTCTGCTCCGGCACACAGCGCTGACAGAAACCCAGAGACAGGCACGTTTCCAGGTTTACAGCTGCGTAAAGATTATTTGGATGAGGGAACGTCCCCCCCTGTTAAGTGCAGCGGCGCATGAACAAGTGCTCAGCTGGCACATGTGGATCTACTGTTACATTTAGTCATGTGGCAGAAGTGACTTAGAGGAGAGGGATAACAGGCTTGAGAGGTTCTTCCACAACACTTCACCTCAATTTTGTATTTGTATTATTTAGATTTTGCATAGTTTTGATCTTCCTCTATATTATTACATCTTGTTTTGTATGTTATGTGCCTGATACCTTGCTACTATAACAGCAATTTCCTGGTTGGGATCAATTAAGTCTATCTATCTATCTATCTATCTATCTATCTATCTATCTATCTATCTATCTATCTATCTATCTATCTATCTAT